GTGTCCAATCACACTTGGCCAATAAAAGAATTCTAATTCTAATCTAGAGAGACAAGACTTACAATTGCTGAAATGTGACATCACAGGTAACATAATTATTGTTAGAAAACAATTACGCCATTACATTAGTAATGCCATAACACTATTCATTATACCAATCTTCTGCAATTTGGTTCTGTCTAGTTATGTTGGGCTTCAGTTTTATGGATTGCAAGTCAGGCCTTTGGCTGGAAATAAAAGGAACTTCAATTCCATGCAACAGGAGAATTTGAGATTGAAGAAAGCAGTACTTTATGGTAATTATGATTTCCCCATTAAAACAGTGGGATGTGCTTCCAGACTATGTTTAAAAGTTGCCAGCAAACTGTAATTATCTTGATAGAATGAGGAAATGATTAAAAGCATGGTTGCATTAATTAGCTGCATTAATTTTAATTTAATTAAACTAACATTTTGTTTTGATTTTACCCATGTCTTTGTCCTGGCCTTACCCTGAGTATGCAGTACAGCCCCAGATGCCATTCAAAGCAACTTTTGCTTTGAAAAGTTTGCACAACCTAACTATACATATATAAATACAAAGCATTATCCATTTGTTATCATTTTTAGGATGCCAATTATTATTAATGTAATCTTATGAAATTATATGCTATACCCACATGTTATACTTTTTATCAGGAACTCAAGATTCTTACATGATAACAGTAAATTCTGCAGGGAATTTTTATGGCCAGCCATCCTTTCCAAACTACACTAGCAGATAGTTTGCCAAAGCGGGAGAAACTGTTCAGAAGAAAAATCTGAAGGCAAAAGTAGATTGACAATATAGTCCAATGGATACTGAGTATATTTAGTGACCACAGTGTACAAGTCTATGTTTGGAAGAGAAAATTAGAAAATGGGAGCTAGAAAAGTATAAAGTTCTTTTATTTTTGAAGAGACGGGTTCCCTTTAAAATAGTCTTGGGCAGCTACAGCTTTCATTTTGTGGCTTTTACAAGAACCCCAAATTACACTCTTGAAATTTAGCAGCCAAGTGGTCCATTTTTGGTGCATGATTTTTTACTGACAAAAAGATCTAAATGGCTGTGTTAACTACTCTATGGCTCCATTTTGTTTTCTTCCTGTTCCAATCCTTTAGCTCTCAGAGCCAGAGTAATCTTTTTTTTTAAATGAAATCCATGGTCCAAAAAATTGCCTTTGATTTAAACTATGTTCTACTTTGCAATTTCCTACTTAAAAAAAAAAGTGAGAGAGATGTTAACCTTTTGACTACCAATGAATATGCAGCATGTTCATACTAAACAAACCACTGATCTGGAGAGAACTTTATACATAGGATCCAGAGCTGCAGCTGATACTAATTAGGCTATTATTTCAGTTTAGTGAAACTGAGTAAATTCTTCTTTTAAAATGACCTATTGTTAAAATTTACTTCAACTTCAGATTCATTTTTAGCAAGAATATCAATGAAATGTTTCTTTGATATTCAGCTTTAAGGCTTATGATATGTCAAAGAAAATCTTGAATGTAGTTCAAACTTTGGATTAAATAATAATAACAAATATTGTTGGAAGTTAACGTTTTATATGAAATAACTAGAGCTGGCCTGCATTCAATTTCTAAAAGCACAAAACTCTGATTTAAAGAGATAAGGACAGAATGATATGGACCCATCTCCATACCCAGGAGTAATAAGTTGTACAACAATATCACATGCCTTTCTTTCACCTTGTTAATTCTGATGGAACCTTGTGATATTGTAGCCCCGGGGTTTAGAAATACACAACAGACCTGGCAATCATATGGCTCCACTGGGTAGATTCAGGAGTTCTAGAAATTAAGCAAGGCCCTTCTTAAGCGGAACAAATATACTACTGAAATTTCCAAAGCTTTGTTAGCCTTTTGGGATTTGGAGAGGTATAGACATAAGAGTCTAATTAAACTTCAGATATTTTGTAAACAGAGCAGTTAGATTTTAACTGAGCTGGTTAAGCATCTCTATGAACACAGTTAGAAAGTACATCTATTTAAAAAAATGATACAGTTCATCACAGCATGATAGGGAAATTACAGGACAAAGAGGAGGAGATGTAGTTTACTGAGTATGATCCATCTTCTAATCATGATTAATGACTTTTATCAGGACTCTTTAATCTTAGTGTTTGGAAGTAGAATGCTGGAGTCATAAGATACTAATATTCAGTATTATTTGTTAATTCTTTTTTCCCAAAAAACAATACTGAAAGAATATTAGGCAAAGTGAGAGGGGCTAACGCTTTATGTTTGCTTGCTTGGAAAATTCCGGATCTTCTGCCTCCGCCAGAAGATGACTCCACTAAGATTGCAGTTTTGTGACTGAAATGTTAATGAGTGGGATACAAAGATTTCTTGAACTATGCACTCATCTTAACTCCTACTGATGTATGGCCATATTTATTGATTCCACCAAAAAAAGCTTCACAGAAAATTTAAACAAAACAAACATCCCAGGGGCACAGGAAAACAAGAGGAGTACTAAATTTGAAGAATCTGTATTAACAAAAAATTTGAAATGCAGCAAGTTCTATAAGTTATTTTTATAACAATTGTCTACAAAAAAGCACAGGATAAGTACATCCTCTTCTGAAAATTCCTCCCCCAAAACAAAGACCATTCTTCTGAAAACAAACAACTAAATTATTCTTATGAGATTTCACAGACTTGATTCCTTCAAAGAAACAACATAATTCCATTAAGAAATTTTGAAACATATCAGCATTATTGTCCATCCCCCCCATCTCTACCCCCCCCCCAAAAAAAAAAAACTCAAGGCAACTAACCCAGTCAACCAAGCATATTGTCTGGAATTTCATATACTTCATCTTTCAAATCAAAATAAAATTCAACATTTTATCCATTTCAGGTTACAAAAATGTTTTAACCATTTATATTTGCTAGATCAAATTCCAATCCGAATCTTGTGATTTACACATATCTATCATTTTTCATAGTACAATTCTATACTCAAGTAGCAAGCAGAATGAATTAAAGAAGAATTGCTTCCAAGTAAATGGGTATAAAATTCAGCCTTTGTTTTTTAGTGTAAGCAGTTCAGAAGAAACTTCCATATAATGTGAAACCCCTTTTTTCAGTAAGACTGAGGTTCAGTGGCAATGCAGATAAATCATCCCTGGTCCTTCCTTTGTCATTACTGTGAAGAGTAGAAAAGATTTATATCTGAAAGCTGGGGAAAGTTGTGCCAGTATGTATAGACAATAGATAAATGTATTATTTAGAATTGGTATAGAGGAAGCTTTTAGAAGATAATTTAATATATTTCCATATGCAAGGAAGGAAAAAAGAAGAAGTTTCAGTTCTATTTTCATCTTTCTACTTTATGACCCATTACCATTTGAAGTATAATAGAATGGATGAGTCAGGACAGGTCTTTTCAATCATGCAAGGCTCTGCAATTCTTTTTCAAAGAAATGCATTTGACTCTTTGAAGATTACTTTTTAATGGCAAAAGATATTTATCTCAGATATCTTTGAGGCCTCCTGAGCTACTTTATTCTATGCTAGTGAATTTTTATGTTTTGATTTTTTTTATTATAACTACATATGTTGTTTTATAATATTTGGGTATTTACAAAAATATTCCTATGTACTATACTTACTGTATGTCCAGATACCATCTGTACACAAACAAATGGTTACTGCAAATTCCTTGAGAAAAATGACTACTGTGGAGTAGTTTCTCAGTTTCATAGGTTTAATCATGGGAGATCACTCTTTCTTTGTTTTTCTGCCCTAGCAGCCTTCAGTGAAACTGAAAACCATGCAGTGCTAAGCAACACAAAGCTGGGGAACTTGTCATAAAAATGTTGCTTAATTACATTTTCCAGAAGCTTGTTGCCCTTCCTTCCTTCCTTCCTTCTTCCTTCCTTCCTTCCTTCCTTATTTTCTATCATTTATCCATCAATGATCTATCACAGGGATCTCCAACATTGGCAACTCTAAAAGACTTGTGGACTTCAACTCCCAGAATTCCCCATGCAGACTGGGGAATTCTGGGAGTTGAACTCTACAACGTTTAAAGCTGTCAAAGTTGGAGAGATCCCTGATCTATCATCTATCTACTGTATCAAACTTGGATACTGCCCATTTCTCCCATAGAGTGACATTCTGAGAAGGGTATTTTCTTCAAATAATTGTGAAGATCCACTTGTCAATGAAGGCATTTAATTGTCAATTAACTGTAATTTAGTGTTTTGGGGGAACTGAGGGCCCCAATGAAATACTGCATACAAAGTAAGCCACAAAAGACAAACAAAAACCATTAATCAGAAATTAATATAGAAAAGTCCTAGATAAAGAGAGAGGTATTCAAATGGCAAGTAACAATGTAGGTGCCTTGCAAATTTTTGCAACAAGAGCATTCTAGAATTCAAATACTATGCCGAGGTGTGTCTTATGTGTAGCCACAAACCACTTAGAGGCCAAAAGTTTACATAGAGTAGTTATAGTAATCTAAGCAAAGTTCACTATGTGAATAGGATAGGATAGGAGAGGAGAGGAGAGGAGAGGAGAGGAGAGGAGAGAAGAGAAGAGAAGAGAAGAGAAGAGAAGAGAAGAGAAGAGAAGAGAAGAGAAGAGAAGAGAAGAGCTTTATTGGTCAAGTGTGATTGGACACACAAGGAATTTGTCTTGGCGCAAATACTCAGTATACATAAAGAAAAGGTACATTCGTTAAGAATCAAGAATCATAACGTACAACACTTATTGATAGTCATAGGGTACAATCAACAATCAAATCGTACTAGGAAACAGTCAAGTGGGAGGGGATGGATGATAAGGAGTGGTGAGAAGATTAACAGTAATAGTAGTGTACACTTTGTAAATAGTTGAACAGTGTTGAGGGAATTATTTGTTTAGCAGAGTGATGGCTTTCGGGAAAAAACTGTTTTTGTGTCTAGTTGTTCTGGTGTGCAGTGCTCTATAGCGTCGTTTTGAGGGAAGGAGTTGAAACAGTTGATGTCCAGAATGTGAGGGGCCTGTAAATATTTTCACAGCCCTCTTTTTTAGTTGTGTAGTATACAGGTCCTCAATTGAAGGCAGGTGGGTAGTAATTGTTTTTTCTGCAGTCTTAATTATCCTCTGAACAACATCTAGATTATTCTGACCATGTAAGGCACAGGTGTCAAACTGGCAGCCTGTGGGACAGATGCGTCACACACAAGCCATGCCCATCCAGGCTCAAGTTTGACATCTGTGATGCAAGGGATAAGATTATATTTTTCAGGGATTTAACAGAAAAATATAGGAATCACAAAACAATTCCCGTGGACATTGCTGTTGAAAATTGGCAGCATGGTGGAGATAACTCCAATTTGGAAGTCCTGGACCTCATGTTGTAGGGACCTCAGGTGGACAACATGAGGTCCAGGACTTCCAAATTGAAGTTAAAACAATTAAAGTGCTGTGTGTTCATATCCAAAACTTAGTCCTATTAAATTCCATGAGAGTTAATGGGTAAGTTACACTGAAGTCTATTTCAACTCTTAGTGACATTCATATAGTTTGTAAAAAAAATACAGAAGTATTTCTATATGATCTTCTGTTGATATATTTTCCAACTTACTAGACTGTTGTGATTGGAAGGATCGGTCCTGTTGGGAGTTTTGACTCTGGTGACTGTTAGATCGTGGATTGACGTCAGAACCAGGAAACGTTAATCTGAAGGGCAAGCCAGTTAATTAGCACGTTGCCTTAATGGGTATAAAAGGACACAGCTGAGCTGGTGCATTTCGCCAGAAACAAAATGACTATTTTGAATGAGGACGTTACAGCAAAGAGCTCTCTGTTTGTTTGAATTTCGAAGGGGAGTCCTAACAGTTTCTGCCAGTCGTTATCTTGTTATTTCCTTCAGTTTGATTTGATTGTGAAACGGCTGCTTTATGTTTGTTCGTTTGAATTTCCAAGAGGAGACATAACATTATTGTTTCTGGCCCAAACAAACCATCTTTAAAGCAAGATGGATTCAAATCAACTGCAGTGTTTGGTAGAGCAGCAACAACAACAAATTAATCAGCTACTGCAAAGCAATGTGACGCTTCAGAATCAGGTAACACAATTGCTGAATTATGTTTCCAGCTTACCAAGCCCTGCTGCTGTTCCCCCTGCCCCTCCTGTGAGGAAAAGCCCAGTATCCATGCCGGAGAAATTTTCAGGACAAATGGACATGTTTCCGGCATTTCTGGGGCAGTGTCAATTATTTATGTCCTTGAGGCCTGAAAACTTTCCAAATGATCGGGCTAAGACAGGATTTATTCTTAGTCTCTTATCTGGGCAGGCTGCTAATTGGGCTACTCCCTTGTTAGTTCAAGATAGCCCGTTGTTGAATAATTTCCAGGGTTTTCTGCAACAAATGAGGGTTATGTTTGAAAACCCAATTAAAAGTCAAACTGTGGACAGACGTTTACGGGACATTAATCAGGGGAAACGTTCCCTGCAGGAATACGTTGCAGAATTTCGTTTGCTGTGTTTGGACTCTAACTGGAATGAACCGGCTCATATGGCTGCATTCCAGGAAGGCTTGTCTGATGCCATCAAAGATGAGCTGGTCCATGCAGAGCGGGCTTTAACTCTGGATGCATTAGTAATTCAGTGCTTACGGATTGAAGCCCGTTTACAACAGCGCGGAAGCAGACGGCCCGTTGTGGAACCACCTTCTCTTTTTTGTTCACAAGCTACAGTTAAGACGGAGGAGCCGATGGAGTTGGGAGCACTCCGCCCTCGCTTAATGGCGCGAGAACGTTCGAGAAGGTTTCAGGAAGGCTTGTGCCTTTATTGCGGGGGTCTGGGACATTTTGTTAATTCCTGCAAACGGAGAGGGACCCGCAGACCCGTACCTGAAACCACTCTTGGCTCGTCAGGAAAACAGGGTAGACCTGACCTCAAGGAAACCCTAGGTCAGAGACATTTCACATCCCCACCTCAAATTGCTGAAGTAAATCCTGGCCCTCCTCGGCATTTACTTTTGGACACTCGAATTTTTCTACAGTCACAGAAGGAGGGAATTCCCGCTGTTGCGTTGGTGGACTCAGGGGCTACAACCAGCTTTATGGACCGAGCTTTTGCTACACACTATGGGATCCCATTGGTTGCTGTACATACACCCATTAAGGTGGAAACTGTGGATGGGCGTGAGCTCAAGTCTGGGCCCATTCGTTTTGCCACCCAGCCAGTGCGTATGATCATTGGGGATCATGAGGAGGCGATAAGTTTTTACATCACCTCGAACCTTCATCTCCCTTTGGTGCTCGGAATGTCCTGGTTGCGTTTGCACAATCCGTTGGTGACTTGGTCGCAGAACAGTATTTCTTTTCCAAGTCTCCAATGTGTAGACCACCTGAGACAATTGGAACGAGCGACGCCTCCATTGGCTGTGGGAGACAGAGTGGGGTTGTCAACGAAACATCGTCAAGTTAATCATCAGACTCGGGGGAAGGGCCCTGCAGTGGGGGATAGTGTTGTGATTGGAAGGATCGGTCCTGTTGGGAGTTTTGACTCTGATGACTGTTAGATCGTGGATTGACGTCAGAACCAGGAAACGTTAACCTGAAGGGCAAGCCAGTTAATTAGCATGTTGCCTTAATGGGTATAAAAGGACACAGCTGAGCTGGTGCATTTCGCCAGAAACAAAATGACTATTTTGAATGAGGACGTTACAGCAAAGAGCTCTCTGTTTGTTTGAATTTCGAAGGGGAGTCCTAACAGTTTCTGCCAGTCGTTATCTTGTTATTTCCTTCAGTTTGATTTGATTGTGAAACGGCTGCTTTATGTTTGTTCGTTTGAATTTCCAAGAGGAGACATAACACTAGACTACCTTAAATACCTTGTATTTCCTTGCAGTCTCCAAACAAAATATGAATGAGGGTTAACACAACTTAACTTTTTGAGATCAGATATTGCTTATTGGTGCTGCTATTCACCTGAGTTAAGGGTAGGAGTATTACCCCAGGTAAATGGTATATAGTCTTAGTTTGCAATCTCCTAGTCTCAATTTTAAGGTAGGGTGCTGCAGCTTCAATAATATCAAGGCATGTCTTTTTTTGTCCAAATCTAACCCCATCCTTTTTCTTAATTTATACGTACATGTAAAGCTGTGGCAAAAGTGACCATTTCCTAGGAAATTTGTAATATTTTTATATTATATTTTATGTTCAGTTTTATTCCCCAGTTGCAAATATTATAAATAGGTATTTGCACACATATCTTCCACTGCCTTTAGCAAAAAGTGTGACTTATACGTACAAGGTAGCAATAAATAAAAGCTCCTGGAAAGAAATTGTGCTATACTTTTGGGATCAGCAAACAGGAATGATGTTTATCCAGCAGTTGACTCATAAGATTAAGTTGTTGAATTGTTGGTGATTTAGACACATATTTGTTTTCTGAATAAAATAAAGAATCACTGCATTATTTTTGTTTTGTTTTCCTTTCTTGCAGTTGTTGAATCCTAAACCTTTTGACCTTTGGCTAATGTTAAAAAGATAAGATATCTGGATAAAAATGAACCCCAAAAATTATCTTCACACCCCTGCTATTAATATGGATTTCACTACATGCAGAAAAGGTCTAAATATATTGGAGCAGTGACCTTCGTAAACACTGCTTGAAGCATATTAAGATTTCTGTTCAGCTTTGGGATTATATCTCCTATTTACCAATTCTCAACTGAAAAATCTGCATGAAAATATTTAAAACTAATTTTTATTTGATCTTACTGAATCATGGTGAGCATGGTTTATGATGGCCTAGGTCAGAATTCAATAAGCTGTTGGTTACTTTTATCTCCTACAGACTTATTTTGGGGGATCCAAATAGCCTAAGGACCGTTGGGGTTGAGAGGAAGGGGAAAATGATGTCATACTGATGACGTTGTTCAATTGTGACATTGTTCAATTAACATAAACAACATACAATCATCATAAGCATTACGATATTATGATACAGCTGATAATAAGGATCTGGATGGGGAAGATTCAGCTTAAACTCAATCCTGGGAAGACAGAGTGGCTTGGGGATCCTCTTAGATTCATGGCTCCTGCTCAAGAAGCAGGTGGTAGCCACTGCTGGAATTGGAGGTTTGCAGATTCATCTAATGCACCAATTGTACCCTTTCCTGGACCCAGAGACCTTGCTCACAGTCACTCATGTCTGCCTTGCTTGCCTCCCATTAGGGTTACTGCAATGCACTCTACATAAGACTGTCCTTGAAGAGCACCAAAAATCTTCAACTAGCCCATAATACAGCAGCACACACAATAATGGAGGCCCCTAGGTTTGGGCATCTAACATCTTTGTTTTACTCTCTATACTGGCTTCCAGTTTCGCTCTGGGTGCAATCCGAGATGCTGTACATCACCTTTAAAACCCTATATGGCATAGGGGTAGGTTATCTTCATGACTCCCCTTTTCTTAAGAACATGTACCTATCCTAACAAATCATATAGGATAGGCACACTCTATATATTGCCATTTGATGACAGCTAGAAAGCATGCCCAATCTAAAATTTATTGTAATATGGCAGCCCCTGCCCTATGGAACACTCTACCCCCTGAAGTTTGATAGGCTTCTATCCTTCTACTTCTATAAAGCTTTGAAGAACTGGCATTTTCCCCAAGTGTTGCAATAAGGGACTATATTATTTGGTGCCAAGTTATTGTTATTTTTTTAACATTTTTAAGGTGCTTAGTTTTATACTTTTATTATGGTTTTATGCTGTATTTATTTTTTTATTGAGAGTTGCCCCAAGCTGATTATAAGATAGGCCCCAAGCTGATTATAAGATAGGCAACTATGTAAATGTGTTAAATAAATATGTCCATACATACATACATAGATGCATACATACATGTTGTGGCTCTGAGGTTTGAGCCTGCATTGTTAGAGGATGAAGACTCAGACAATGGGGAAGAGGAGGATTTGGAAATGCCTTCCTCCCCAGGACCTTCCTCTTCGGCAATGCCTTCCTCCCTGATTGTGCCTCAGGTGTCGGCAGATAACCGAGAGGGAAGACCTGAGGCTAATCAGGAAAAGGAGGAGGGCATATCAGAGTCTCTGACTGAGAATCAAGCAGAGGAATGCTGGCTTGATGCGAGGCAGCGTCGCAGGCAAAAGTGTGAGCTGCAATGCAGGAGGAAGGGACGAATCAGAGACTGAGCTGAGGGACTGACACACCCCACAAGGAATAAAAGTGGGTGTGTTCGCTCTGAGAGTTTTGTACGGGACAACGTGTGACTTATTCAGAGGAGCTCCGGAGTATTCTGTGTTGTGACAGCTTGTGTGATTTATATTCCTGCTTTCTTGTCGGACTTGGCAGACAGCGTGTGTGAGACTGCCAAGAACTTTATCGACTCAAGGAATTAACTCTATAATTACTGGATTTGCTTGCTTGTTTGTATTCAGTTGGAATTTGGACTTCTCACCTCCTTTGTAAAGGTGAGACATAACACATACATACATACATAATGTGCACAATCACATAATAACACATTTGGTATCAAGTAAATAAATGAATTTGCCTCACTATGTTATTTTTGGACTGCAAAAATCACAAACAAACCAAACCACACCAAAAATATCACTTGAAGCCAAAATTGCCCAACAGAGCTTGTCATATTTTGGTCATGTCATATGAGATGACTCACTCGAAAAGTCAATCATGCTGGGAGTGATCAGGAGAAAAAGAAGAAGGGGCTATGCTAGCACCCATTGGCTGGACACCATAAAGGAGGACACTAGGATGACCATGGCTTATCTGAAGGAGGCGGTGCAAGATGAGGGGCATGGAGAGTGCTGATCCAAAGAGTGACCGAGGGTCAGGCACTACTGAATGGCTGTTGATGGCATCTCTCTATCAATCACTAACATAACAGGCAGATACGTCTCAAATCAGAATGTTTAGCCAGCATTAAACAAATAGACATAGTCACAAGTTCTTTACAATTATATGTGACATACATACAATTTTAATTTGTGCAACAGGAATAATGGAATAATGGATGGAAACTGATCAAGAAGAGATTCAACCTAGAAATACAGAGAAATTTTCTGACAGTGAGAACAATCAACCAATGGAACAGCCTGCCTTCAGAAGTTGTAGGAGCTTCCTCACTGGAGGCTTTCAAAAAGAAGTTGGACTTCGATTTGTCAGAAATGATGTAGGGTTTCCTGCTTGGGTGGGGGTTGGACTAGATGACCTACAAGATCCCTTTCAACTCTTCTTAATCTGTTTATCCTCAAATCCTTATTCTGACTGTTCTTCAGTCCTTATTTGATCTCTTCATTTCATCCTGAGTTTTGCTCTGATGCTTGAAATACTACCACACAAAACCTGATGCAAATTGCAATAATGTTCTTTCAGCCAATCCACTTTCAATGTTAGCATCTTCATATAAAGTACACATATGAAAGGGGTTTCATTCAACATACAATTGCAACATACAATTACAATTTACTCATGGAATAATATTTTTCAGAATACATGTAAAATATACTTCTATATAATTTACTTATTTATAATAGATATTAGAACCACATGAATATTCAGTCCTGAGGTTTGAATTGATTTGAAAGTAGTTCAGTCAAATTTCTGAACTGAGTTTCCATTGTGAAACAATTATTCTATCCAAACTGAGCTTGCTTCCCACAGGATAATAGCTGCCACACACAGGTATGTTACACAATTATTACTGATTTATTAAAATCAATGTTTTAATCCTGCTTTTACACCAAAAAGAATGTTCAAAGCCAACATTAAACAAAAACGTGCACTCAACCTTGGCATAATCCACCTGAAACTTTTACACATCTTTTAGAAATAAAGCAGTACCTTCTTACAATCTATTCTATAAAACTTAAATTGAGTATTCCAAAGCAGATATGGTGAGCAAAGGCACAGGAAATTGGAATGATCATCATCATAGTTACAGAAGAACAGGATTTCAGCCTGTTGTTTGGGATGAGAAATTCCTTCTTCTACAGTATGTTCAGAATCACACAGGAGATCATCATGTGTACAGGTGGCAGCTCAGCTTTCTAGTAAAATCTATTAGATTACAGGCAAGATTATAAGCAGAAACTAATTGCTCTTCAAATTAATTTGCTAAATTATTAAGATGCTGTAATGGCTGTGTTCACATCACATATTTACCAAAGTTATTTGTAACTTGGACACAGTTTACAAAATCAGCAATTTTGTCAGATTGCACAACAGAGTGAACCATAAAACAATCATACAGATTGCCTCTGCGCAAGCTCTAGGCCAAAATGTGGCTGATTAATTTGTGATTTACTTCTTGAAGTTTTCAGTTAACTAGATAAAAGACCTACCAGTATATGAAAATGACAGTAAATATACATACATCCAAAAAGAAATTTGTCAATTGCAAGGCAAGAGTGACACAACATTTGTTTCAACATCTCTGCAGAAGGAAACTCTCCAATACATCTATTCAACAAGACAGTTGTTTTGACAATCATTATATTTCTCTTCTAGTTGTTCTTTGAAACCTGCTGTATTTTATCTTATTGTCTGTAACAGTTCTCTCGGGTTTCACAGCAGATTTTATTCTTTTAACACAATGCTTAACTGCATCAAGGCTGGACAAAGTAGTCTTTTCCTATTCTCATTCTTGGGCACTATATCTTTTTTTTTTTTTTGCTAATTATATGGTCTGTCTCCTATTCTGACTCATTGCTGACTCACATTCAATTTGATTACTGTCCGCTATGTTTTATTTTTCTGTCTCTCTCCATTAGTTTAAATATTAATCCTATTTTATATTCTTGTTTATTTTCTTTCACAATGAGTGTCATAAGTAGTGTTTAATAGTACTGGATTTTAAGTGGTGTAGACTACACAGTCACGTCATCACAAGCACCTGAGGAACTTGAAGCAAGCAATGTGTTCCCCTTCCCAAGTGAAAATATTATGCAACGAGCATCTTTTCCAGCTTATGCAGAACTATATCAAGAGTAAATATTTGAAAGCCTGTGGGCAAGATTTCCCACTTATTGTCTATAGTTGCAAACATTCCTCAATCAATTTCATCTTTACAGAACAGGGCTGTACTAATATATCTATATTATAGATATATAATATCTATAATACCAAGTGAAACTCTCAAATATCTTCTCAACGATATACCCATGTATTGCTTTAATGGTATCT